GCCTCAGCCTTCCAGAGTGCTGGGATTACAGGCATGAGCCACCACGCCTGGCCAAGTGAACACAGTATTTTTGTATTACAACTCATTTTGCATCAAGTGCCAAGGTGCATTTATTCATTCGTTTAACAAATATGTATTAAATGTCTACCCTGTGACAAACACTACTTTAAGTACAAGGTAGGAGACAAAAAGAGACAACTCCTTCTGTCCTAGAGTTTACATTCTAGTGCGTGGTAGAGAACCTACCAAAGAATATTCAAAGGGGAAAAAAGAGGATTTTAAATTTATTTCTTTTCAGCCAGGCATGGTGGCTCACACCTGTAATCTCAGCACTCTGGGAGGCCAAGGTGGGAGGATGGCTTGAACCCAGGAGTTTGAGGCTGCAGTGAGCTATGATTGTGCCACTGCACTCCAGCCTGGGTAACAGAGCAAGACCCTGTCTCTAAAAAATAAATAAGTAAATAAATTTCTTTTTTTCCCAAATTTATTTTTAAATTGATAAAATTGTATGTATTTATCATGAACAACATCATGTACAACATGTTTTAAAGCCTATATACACTGTAGATGGTTAAACCTAGCTAATTAACATGCATTATCTCATAATTTTCATTTTTGTGGTGAGAACACTTACTATCCACTCTCTTAGCATCTTTCAAGAATACAACATATTGTCATTAGCTATAGTCACCATGCTGTACATTAAATTTCTTGTAGTATGTGGCCAGGCATGACGGCTCACGCCTGTAATCCCAGCACTCTAGGAGGCCGAGATGGGTGGATCGTTTGAGCTCAGGAGTTCGAGACCAGCCTGAGCAAGAGTGAGACTCCGTCTCTACTAAAAATAGAAAGAAATTATCTGGACAATTAAAAATATATAGAAAAAATTAGCCAGGCATGGTGGCACATGCCTGTAGTCCCAGCTACTCGGGAGGCTGAGGCAGTAGGAGTCCTTGAGCCCAGGAGTTTGAGGTTGCTGTGAGCTATGCTGAAGGCACGGCAGTGTAGCCTGGGCAACAGACTGAGACTTTATCTCAAAAAAAAAAAAAGAAAAAAAAAATTTCTTGTGGTATGATATCAAATTTCTTATTGGAGTTCCAATCAAGAAACTCAGAATAATTCTCTCTGGCTAATCAATATCAGTATTTGTATCTGCCCCAGACTTGAATGAATGAGCCAATGAGGAAATCAGGATGAGGTTCCTAGGGCATAGAAGGAATTGATGGTTTGACTCAGGGAAAGCTCTTTGACTCAGTGGAAATAGGGTACCCACTGACATCTAGAGGCCAGAGACGCAAGGGGGATAAAAAGCACATGCATGGGTTATGGTTAAGCTGTTTTTACCTGAAATCATCACCAGAGGGAGTTTCTGCATTTGTGCCACTTGGGCTTCCATCATCACTGTCCCCTCGTTGCTGTGCCAATCTGCAAGCACAAATACAAAAGTGTTATCAATTATGGGCTCTAAATCAAGCAGAGTATTGGGGGCCTCGCAAGCAGGGTAAGGACGAGGAGTCAACTAAAAATGCTACAAAGTCGAAGTGCAAATGTCCTCCATTGCCTGTCCTCATGGCAGGGAAAACCCATAAAACAGTGCTGACAAGAGCCCCTTCTCTCTCCAAGCCACCTAAGGCGTGGAGGAAAGGCTAAATATCCAGCAGGTCCAAGGAAACTCCTCCAAAAAACCCCAGCCTTTACAGGGCCAAGAAAGCCCCAAGAAAGTCAGACAGGAAGAGAGAAATGAGGCAGCAAGGGTAGAGGAAAACCAGGGGGTGGGGGTGGGGTGTGTGGCAGAAATGGGGGAACGGGAGAGACGACAGAAAGGACAGGGGATGGGAAATGACATTATTGAGCATGCAGGGCACTGCGCTAAACAAAGGGCAGCGGCGAGAGGAAGGGGCGGAGATGATATAAAGACAGATGGAGAACAGAGGCTTGAGAGGGCCAGGCACAGAAGCCCAGGGTGGGGGCCAGGAAGAGCAGCTTGGAGGGCCCTTCTGGCCAGAGACCTTGGCTGGGAGAGGAGAAGACGGTGTTTGGGAGCGGCCCAGTGCCGGGGATGGGGTGCAAAGCCAGGCAGCGGGCCCGGGGCGGGGACGCAGTGGCGGGCGGGCAGGCTGGGCCGGGCGCCGGCACCTGCTTCCGCAGTAGCTGTAGAGACAGTAGTGGCTGCTGGGTGGCGGCTCGAGTCTCCGCTCCTCGGCGGTGCCACCCTCCTCGCTGCTCTCTAGGTCCTTTTCAACCCCATCCAGCGATTCCTGCAAGGAGGGGAGCATCGCGGTAGCCTCCGAGCGGCCCTGTGTTCCCGCCAAAGCGCTCCCCCGCTGCCGTAGAGTCCTAGGTGGCCGGGCTCGTCCGGCCCCCGGCCCTAACTCACCTGCGTTCCGCTGGTTTCCCGCGTTCTCGGGCTCGGGAGCCGGCTTGGAAAGGACGTCTTTTCTCCCCGCAGCGGGTAGCGGCCCGAATGAGTTGGCCTTTGCTAAAAAGCTTTCACCATTTCTTTTAACTGATTTTTCTCCGATATCGTTTGAGACGTCTAGGAGGCTTACTATGTGATAAAGGTGGTACAACTAGCTAGCGACATGGGAAAGAATAAAGCTACTCTCCTGCCTCCTTGCCCACGTGCAAGCACGCACCCACCGACACACATAAACAGACCGGTCTGACCGAAGAGTTAAGACTTTACAATGGAAAGAAAAAAAAAGGCGAAAATATGGAGAATTTTTAACATTTTTGGAGTTAAGAAGGCCTTTTAAAACATAACAAAATACTTAGAAGCCATATAGAAAAAAATTAAGTCTGAGTACCTGAAAACTAAAGTTTAGAACAGGAATGAAAACCAAAGTCAGAAGGCAAATGACAAACT